TCAATTAACTTTAGTTCGGTTATCCATAAGGACCCCCTCTTTCGAAATCTAGATCTATAACATCTTCTTAAATTGGGTCTTTTCTTCCCCTATGTTGAGAAACCAGAAAGAAGGCGAACTTACACTTTATTTAAAAAAAAAAAAAAAGGCAGTAATAAAGTTACAGGCTTTAGGAAGAGCTACGTACTCCAAAATAAGTCTGCAACATAGTCTCACAGATCAAAGAAAAGTCAGGAATAGTTTATTACCCTCCGATTAATTAGAACTTGGGAGGATTAAATGCAAAAGTCCCAGAGAGAGGATATTAAGTCTTATCTTCTATGAAAGTAAGTCATCCGGGCAAACACGCCGCACCCTCGACATTCTACTGCAGGGGGTGAAGGGAATATAAACCTCACAGACGTGCTGTCAACATTACAGGCCCCAGTGAGCCCAGCCACCTTTCCAGGCCAACGGGAAGTGAAATTCCCCCACAGTGCACGGAACCTGCGCTCCCCGGCGCCGGCAGCGCGCGAAGACCGAGGTGGCCCTAGAACGCCACCCAGCGGCCTGCGGAGAGGGCTGCAGGCGGGTCCTCCGCGGCTCCCGGCTCTCCGCACCCCCACAGCCACCCAGCCCGTTCCCCTCTCCGGATGCACAAGGCCCAACCCAAGAACTAAGACCACAAAATGGCTGCCGGCAGCTTCGTCACGTGACCCCTTTGTGCCTTTCGGGCTCCCGAACTCCGCGGGACCCGGGTACAAGTGGCCGGGGTCGGCGGGTGGCCTCAGAGGAGGCCCCGCCGGGCCGCAGCGGCCGGGGGTCGAGGCCGGGGGAGGCGGGGTAAAGGCCCGGCCGGCGACTGAGAGTCGGCGGCGAAGAGAAGATGGCGGCCATTTTGTGTGGGTATGCTGCTCCGCCGCCGCCGCAGGCAGCAGAGGGAGCGGGGCCTGGCGCTGGGTCGGACAGGGGAGTTAACACGTACCGACTCCTCTTCCTTCTCCATTCCGGTGGGCATCTGCGGCACGGCCCGGTTTATCGAGGCGTATTCGTGCAGGTCGGGCAGATCCTCACAGCGGAAAACCGGCAGCGGCTTCGAGGCGTCTAGCGCCCGCGCCCGAAACGACAGTTTACTCATCTCAGGCGCAGCAGATACCTCTCCGCTCTGGGGAAACGGCCCCGGCCAGCGGGATCATGGAGAACCGGGGGTTCGGTCCCCACTCGCCTACCGCTGCCGGGGACTTGAGGGGCGGAGCGCAGAGCCCGCCGTCCGGGTACTAACACCAGCCGGGAGGGTGGGAGGCTGTGCCGCTCCGCTCCTCTCTCGCTCGCTCTCTTCAATACGCCATGGCCAACATGGCGGACATTAAAACTCCACTGTGCGCTCTTCAGCCAACCCCAGCCATTCCCCACACTGCATCGCGCAGCGGCGCGGGCACGCGGGGGGGGGGGAGCGCGGGCTCGAGGCCGGGCGCCGGCACGGAGCGCGCGTCCCGCCAACCCCCGGCGCCCGCCGGCCTAGCTGCTCGCGGCCCCCACCCTCTGCGGGCCCGGAGGCGGACGGGCGGGACGGGGCAGACTGGGCGCTCGGACGCCGGGAGCCGGCTCCTCCGTCCTCCTCTCCCTCTCGGGCACGCGCTCACTTTCTCACGCTCGCTCCCTCCCAGCGCCGTTTTCTGACAGGCGAAGGAGCAGGCAAACTATCTCCACCCGCACGCCGGTTTTGCGAAAGGCAACGGCGGGAGAATTGCGGGGTGGTGCTATTGCCCCGGGGTAGGCGGGCTCGGCACCTGTCACCCCAACCAGCTGCCGGCGCGAGGGGCGGGGGAGACGCCGGGGGGCCAAAGCCGCCCTGAGTGGGGGTTAGGAGGGGCGCTCCAGAGGCGCAGCGCACCGATGGGAAATTCAGTGGGTGAATGCATGTCTTAGCGGGCTTTCAGGTCTTTAAAACAAAAATACAAACGAAATTAGGGGCAGAATGCCTCTTCGGGTGAACTTTTACCAGCGATTATTTTTACGTCTAATGAAACTCTGGATTATAATATTTGACAGGCTCAGCCGCAAACCATTGGTCAGTTCCCATCCATTGGGCTCAATATAAACGGTAGACATCCTACTCTGCTCCAAAGTAGGGTTTTTTGTTTTTTTTTTAATCTTGCATTTTATCTACCCATATTCACTCTTATTGTAATTGAAGCAAAAGGAGTTGTTATCGGACACTGTTATCTTAGGGGGAAAAAATTTAAAGCAAGACCTTCAGAATTTTAGAGCCAATTCGTTACATGTAGTAGCTCATGATTTTTTTTTTTTTTTTTTTTTTTTTACTGAAGGAAAATGCTGCTTCAACATAGCCATGGGTTCCACTTATCACTTGTTTTCTGAAAAACTTTCTAAAATTGAATCATATAAAGATCTGTAGTGCTCCTGTCAAATCAAAAAAGAAAAAAAAAGGCGGGGGGAGACCGTGTTGTTATAGAAATTTAGATGGATGTCATCTATTAATATTTGGTTTATAATACACGTGAAAATTGGTATCTAGAAAGCTCTTTCCAGTGGGTTATTTAAAAAAATCCAGAAAGACTGTTGTGGTGGGTTTAGTAGGTTTGCCAGCAAAATTACAAACATTCACTGAGATACAAAAATGTTTTATAAATCTGGTTTTCTTCCTGGGAGCTACATAGTAAAAATAATCACTATCCTTAAATACCGGGTTGGATAGGAGCTGTTACTTGCTTAAGGCACATAGGCAAACTGCTGTCTTCCAGGTTGGTTTAGCTATGCTCTACCAGGTGGGGAAAAGACAACTAGTGCATAGATTGCAGTTCTCGAAAATTACCCTGAAACTCTTAATACTGGCAACTTCCCTCTATGAGGCAGAGGGACTTTCATCTACATTTCCCATACTAAGACTGCATTTATTTAGTGAGCAAATATTTAGGAGTCCTCATGGCCTTCTATGTATGCTGCTGATTGTCACAGAGCTCTCGGAAAAGGACCTTTAGATGACAACTGCCACACCTGGAGTGTTATGATGAAAGCGCAGGCTATTGTGGGAACAGACGGGAGTGGCACCCAATGCACAGGCAGCGGCTCTAATGAGAGGATTCAGGGAAGGTTTTTTGGAGGAGATGATATCTGAGTCAAAGTTGTGTAGGATAAGTATGAGTTAATCTTGCCAAAAAATGAAGAGAAGGAAAAGTATATTAGGCAAGGGAAGCAGCATGTGCAAAGGCAGCCACGAGAGCCCATGTCATATTCTGGGAGCCTCAAGAATCGCCAAGCATACTGTGCAACAGATACGTATTTAGGCAGGTTTAAGAGGTCTGGCTCAATATTTGTAGAGTAGTCCTCTCCAGCCTGCAATATTAGATTTCTGAAAATCCTGAGAGTAGAATTCTGTTGATTTTACAGAAGACTTTGTAGAGCAAAGTCTTTACAGACTTTACGGACTAATAAGACTTTCTAGAACAAAATAGGGTCTTAAATTATGAATGAACCACCAAGGAAACAAATACAATATTTTAAAACTGCATTAAAATAACAGCTAATGAATAACATTTTCTTCATCCCTAATGGGCACTGTACAAATCAGTTCCTTGCTCCCTAGAAATTCTAGAATCACCCTCCATGGCAGGTTTGGAGATATTTACAAATTAAGCTTACCTTTTTGCAGATAATATACCTGCTGAGAGGCATTTTCTTTTTGCATCAATTCTCCATCCGGCTCAATGCCCTGGATTTCTGACTCCCAGTCCTGGTTTCCCAAAGACCCAAAGGCTGGAGTCCCAAGCCTTATAACTCAATTCACTTCCCTCCCTCCTTAGGGGCAGGAATGCAGTAATAACGGTTCAGGTTTCAATGTAGGGAATACAAGTAAGATTCTGATCAAAGGATACCCAGTTAACCAAATGATCAGCCCAAGGCAGTATGGTGAAGTACAGTGTTATGGGAGTTCAGAAGGAAAAGTCAGTTCCCTCTGGGGTGATCGGAGAACATGGAGAAGATAGTGTGTGATTTGGTTGTGAAGGATGACTAACATTCCAGTTGGCAATGGCAATGAACCGGTAGAAGAAAGGGTATTCATGGGAGAAAGCAACTGTTTGAACAAAACAGTGAGAGGAGGCAGCTGGCTGGTTTATGAAGATGAGAAGGCTTATTTGGCCAGAATTCAGTAGGAAACTCTGACAACAAACCAGGTATACAGTAAAATGGGTAGGAACTTAGGTTGAAGGAATAGGGGTAGAAAGAGATAAAGTTTTAATGGTGATAATAATTATAATATCATCATGCTCAAATGTGCTTCATTTCAATTTATACCAAATACAGAACTTCTGAAAACAACAAAGAATGTGTGAAATGCAACTGCTGTGGCACTGCTGTTGGCTATATATAATAAACCTGGAATATGGTTCTGAATTTTAGTTCATGTCCAATATGTGCCCAAGTCTTATTATTTATTCTTGGACATTGTACCCAGGATTCGTTTCCTTGTTTCCATTTCCATTGTCTCAACCATAGTCCCAGCTCTCATCACTTCCTGCCTAGAAATGACCTCCAATCCAATGCATCCTTTATTCATGCATTCCTTTGAATTCTTAACCACCTACTTTACAGGAAACTGCAGGTACTCTCATAGTGACTAGTGGTAACCAGCAGTGGCTGGACGAAGCTTTGTTTCCTGGGGATATCAAGAAGAGAGTACAAACTGCCCTTCAGGGGTTCATACTGCATGCCACCAAATCAGTGTGCCTAAATCCCCATTCCATATGTATCCTCCCCTCCCCAAGTCACTTATTTGTATCTGCTCTTTGTTTTGCCCATTAGATAAAGCCTTTTGGGGGTATATGGTTGTTAGGGTGCCTCAGTAACTTTGACTAACTCTGTCTAACATAGTTTCCCATTACTGCCTAAGACACGCTCTTCACTGCCTCCTAAGTCACACCACCATCTTTAGAAATCAGCATGTCTTTCCTGCCTCCAGATTTTTATTCATTCCTTTCTCTCTATTTTCACCCATCCAGCTTCAGACTGACTATATATTTCTAGCTACCAAAATGCTACCTCACAGAAATGATTTGAAGATTCAATAAAACAATCCATGTAAGTATTTAGAATGGCCTGTGATCCACAGTAAACCTTCAGTAGTTGTAAACTATTGTTACTATCCTCCAAAATCCAATTCAAATATCATGTCCTCCATGAAATTTTGACTACTTAATCTCTCTGGGTTCTAATTTCCTAATCTGAAGAGAGGTTAGGTGAATTCAAAATAATTCTTCTTAAGCTTACACCATTCTTTCTCCTTTCTGAACTCCTATTACACTTTCAATCAGTAAGAATAATAGCCACATTTACTATGTGGCAGGCAATGCAGAAGTACATTTTAAATGCATTATCTCATTTAATTTTCATGGGAGTCCTACGAGATCTGTCCTGTTAGAGAGGTTGCAAGACCAGCCTATGGTCATGAAGCTGGTGAGAGGCAATGCTGAGACTGAAATCCCTGGTGTCTAACTCCAGAGTGAGGCACCCATAACCAGATTATAAAGTGAACTGAGGAGTGAATGAGAGGTGAGGAAAGATGTTGAATATGGGTTACCCTTTTAAGAGCCTTAGCAAGGAAGGGAGGAGAGGCAGAGACAATGGGGTAACTATTTGGGTCACAAATTTTGTTTATGAAGGTGGGAGAGATATGGGCATGTCTGTACGCTGAAAGCAAAAATCATGTAAATGGATTAACTTTAGCGCTATCTTCCTTTGAGGCAGAAAGGAAGGAGAGCAAGAATGGCTAGTGATCCAAGGAAGTTAAACTCTCTGATGGGACAGTAAGATTTAAAAAATCATGATGCCAATTTTGCTAGCAGCAGTCCAGATTCTTCATTCCTTCGAGCATTCAATAAATACTGACTGGATGTTTACTAAGAACTAGGTAAAGCAGCTTGTGCTGGAGAGCAACCTATTTAATCCAATGACTGGCACTTACTGGCAGATTTTACACCTGTGTATAGGCCAGGTGTTAGTCCAAGGTTGTAAGGGGCAAAGGTATAACAATGAGAGAGTTGGGAGACACCAGAGGAGCAGGCCGAGGGGAGGAGGAGGAAGAAAACGGAGGTAGAAGTAGGGAAAGGGAAGGTAGTAACCCTTAAGGTGCTTTACAGTCTCAGCACATAAAATGTATTATATTTCGAAATTAGTTCTACTAAGCAACATATCCAAATCAGTATGGTATAAATGGTACATGGGGCGAAGAAATGAAACTTGGAGAAATAAGAGAAAAACCATTAACAAAGTAGAATTTTACGTTGGAAGATTTACGTCAAATTTATTAGTGTATGGTAGACCAAAAAAGATTGACAGGGAAAGGGGATTTCAAGAGAGACTTATGTGAGTTACTATTGCTTCTATGACCCAAGGAAGGAAATCATTTTCCTTTTGAAACTTGGGGCACAGAATTATATTCTCTATTACCTAATAATTTAGGATTGTTGAAATTAAAGTTCTACTTTCACTCTATTCTTCTTGATGACTGTGAGTAACCGTTGTGCCAATTACTTAGATAAGCACCTGGAATCCAGTTTTTCTTCTCTTCCAGAATAGGGAAGGGAAAGTGAATAATCTCAACCCCATGGACTGAGATTATAGGTGTGAAGAATGATTTATGGAGTAAGAAGAGGAGGGCATGGAGAACAGAGCCGGAGGAATACCAACATCTAGGAGACAGAAGAAGCACAAGAGCCAGGGAGAGAACAGAGAAAGAGGGACAAGAGGCTGGGAGAAACATGAAGGCCAGCTGATGTCCATATTTCAAGGAGGACCAAAAGGGTCAATGATGAGGACCAAAAATGTCAATGAGGAGGACCAAAAAGGTCAATGAGAAGGACCAAAAAGACGGAGGTTGTCACTGGAGATCATAAAAAGCACGACTTCTAGAGGACGCTGTGGGCGGAAAGTACACTCTGGTGAGTTGAGAAGTGAATTGGAGGAGGCATGGCTGAGTGGTGCCTGAAGAATGTTCATTAATCATTTACCAGGCAACCCAAAGCCAAGTAAAATTTTGAAGTGATTTCCCAGTACTTTTCTATGATACTATTATTGTTACTTGCCCACCCAAGTGAGAGTACCTCCAGGCCAAAAATCAACTTAGCTTCAGGACATACCCAGGGACAGAGCAGCTAACATCATCAGCGCCTCCCAAATTAGACATATTAAGAGAGAATGTGTTCCATTATTTCACAACAAAATCCTGGTTACGGGAGGAAGTAAAACTTAACTACCATCTTTAAAGTTGCAGAAGCCAGTGAACAAAAAACCGACCCAATCAGTGATAAGGATATACGTCACATCCATATCTTCAGATTTCTTCTGAATTAAGTTTCCCAAACACTAGACTCATCAGCCAAAAAACAACACGGGTGCACTGTGGTAGAACGTGGACTTGGATATTATATTTGGTTTAATTGATTTCTTTATAATCAGGTTAACACTTTGATGTTTTTGTTTCTTCCGGTCTTTCCTGGGTTTTCTTTTATTTTTCATTTGCTTGTTTTGTAATATTGGAATAAGAATGAATATTGTTTTGTAGTCCTCACTTCCAAATATAATCTGAGAATATTCCCACCTCATTAAATAGTTTTATAAGATTATTTTTTTGATAGATACTTATCCTATGTATATACCATAATTCCTTAAGCGCCCCCTCTTTGGGAGGTTTACAAAGTGTACTGACTTTTCTTTATTATAAAGAACACATATTGCCTTAATAGAACATTTAAAATAAACAATGGGCTTGAATTTTCATGGCTTAAGGCTCAGAACAAATATCTGCTGTTCTTTATTTTTTATTTTTATTTTACTTTTAATTAGTTAATCAATTAATTAATTTTGGTGGGCAGCAAAGAAAGGTTTAAGAGATAGCAAAAAGACAGTACAAAGCTGGGTTGCCCTGTTTTTTTTTTTTTTTTTTAAAAAGGATTTATTTATTTATTTGAGGGGGCAGAGAGAGGGTGTGAGCGCATGGCACATGCAGGCAAGCAGTGGGGAGGCGCAGAAGGCAGGGGAGAGAAAGAGAGAAAAGTCAGGCTGACTCCCTGCTGAGCACGGAGCCCCACTCAGGGCTGGATCCCAGGATCCTGAGATCATGACTGAGCTGAAACCAAGAGCAGGATGCTCAACTGACAGCCACCCAGACACCTCTTATCTTTCTTTGAATAACAATACAGCCAAATCTGCGCAAAGGAAGGCGGACGATTTTACTGCCATTCTGAGTTGATGGCAAAATACAGATCTTCAATATCTTAAATATCAATATTTAAGGTCTAAAATGTAAGTATTTCTTCCCAGATATTAGTTCAGCATTTTTCAAAAGTATGATCCGTAAAACATTAATCCCAGAGGTTACATTCCGAGATGAGGTACATAAAAAAGTTACATATAAAACCAGTAAGTTAGAAAAATACTGTCTATAATATGTTTCTTTTACAAATATGGATGGGCTCACAAGGCGTAGGACCAGGACAAGTCCTGCAGAAAATAAATCTATTTACTAATGCTTATCACAGTACTTTTCAAATTTACCAAACCATGCAACCTCTTACTATATACTATTAATTATTACCTTTAATTCTATAAAAGTACACTTTGGGAAATTCTAATCTAGGCAACACAGGGAAATGAAAGTTTTTCTAATCAAGTTTTTCATTTAATTGTTTAAGAAGCCTGACATGCTAACTTTGAAAGAAGCATGAAGATCTTATAAATGCAAAGTACTATCCTTATTACCAGTTAAGAATTTTATCCTGCTAAACAGTGCAAAATAAGACATTTAGTGTAAAACTGAAACAGAATTCTAACCAACACAGAATTAAGCAGATTGCTACTCTTTAGCAATATATTTGGTATTTAATACCAAATTAACCAAATTGTTCAGCCACTTTTCTTTCCAAAGTTTTCTGTATTAAAAAGAACATGGTAAGCCACTTTGATTCAGATTTTTATTCTAACTTAAGCTCTTGGAGCTGCAGTTTCTTCATCCATACGATAAGAATCAACAGAATCCACTGTTTAGGTTGATACACTGATTCAATAAAATCATTAATGCAAAGAGTTTATCATGGATCTGACACAAAAATAATGCTCAATAAGCATGGGTTATTTTTAAAGGACATTTTAATCCTATTTTATCCCATTCATCATTTTATTTTTCTGGGCTCCACCATCCCCGTTATATACAGTATAAAACACTATTAATTGTAAAGGCTTTCAAAACTCTTAGCTGAGGCAACAAAACAAAACCAAGCTAAAAATGTCCTCAAATGAAACCAAAGACCTATATTTGAGTGTATATACATATACACAGATACACATATACAACTAATTTATATAAAACATTTTACTCATTTTCTAGAGGTTTTTTTGTTTGTTTGTTTCCCTTTAGTAGTTTTGTTCATTCCTACGTTTAAATCTACAAGGACCCCTGGCAGCCAGCACAGCCCCCACCAACCCCACCCCCTTGCCAAATGATTCATTAGGCTGGCTGCCCAGTGACTGCTTGATCTCCAAATCTGGTCAAGCAAGTTCCCCAGGGGGCCAGGGTCTCTCTGTACAGGCTGCTACTGTTTCCCTTAGGGTGAGTGCTTTGGGTAAAAACAGTCAAATGATAAGTAACATTTTGCATTCAAAGTAGCAACATGGTGCACTGAGACACAGCATTAAGTCTTGAAAGGAACACTGGCTTCCATGTTTGAAGAGCTAGATGCTAATCTAGTACCTACCATTTACCAGCAGTTGACCCTATAGAAATGATTTAATTTCTGAGCCTTAAGTATCTCATAGACTCGGTCTAAATACTTGTTTTCCTCTCTTTCAGGCCACTCTGATGAACAAATGAGATAATATAGTGAAAAATCTTAGACAGCTGCAACTCAAATATAAATATTAAGGAAGAATATATTATTTCAATTCCACCATAGTGGTTAGGAAGGGCATACGTGTCTACATGCCCCAAAATAACACATTGGAACAGAAAATCTATGACCTATCCAAATTGCAGTTGATCACAGATTTGATTGAGAAACTAAAGTGCTTTGGACATTGCCGTAAATAGGAAATCTTCAACACAACACTGAGATTCACCCATTTATTTATTTTTCAGTAATCTTTTTTTTCACCCCTTTTAATTTATCCAGCCATATTTTTTTTTCAATTATTCTAAAGAGTGTCTAGCACAAACTAAAAGTTCAAAAAATCTATCATAAGTTTGGATTATTTTAAGAAATGTACCTGATTATAATTTTTATAATTATAAAGTTTTATAATTTTAATGTATTTTTCTAAAAAATCTCTCTTCCTCATCATCCCTTTAAGAACAGAAAATCAATAAAAATGTTTTTTTTTTCTGAATCTTCTCTGCTCCCTAATTTCCCCCATTTTAAAAGCAGCATTCCAGGTTTTTAGCAGATGACATGCTAAGAAAACAAATGGCTAAAATACAGTGGTTAAAAATACTAGCTCCAGAGTTAGACATGATTTGGCTTTTGTAGCTCTGTGAACATAAATAAAATTATTAACTTCTATGAATTGCAGTTTTCTCTTCTGTAGCATGGCGACAGTTTGGAATACATAAAGAAGATAAATAGATAAAGAAGCCACATGACCAAATTTACGGAGTTCTTACTTTGGCTGGGCACTTACATATACTATCTCATTTAACCCCTATAAAATGTTATAAAACAGCTTTAGTGCCTGTCATTATAGCAAGATTTCAGTAAGTATTCTTAGATAATACTCTTTCACAAAATAGCCGAGCACTTTTCTCAAAGAAAGATTAAGCAATAGTTGTCAGTATAGGGTGGGAAGTTGGTTGGCCCTGAGTAGGCTGAACCAGGTCCTAATTATCTTCATTTTAACATAAATGGTAAACTGGGTTTATACAAGTTGTTCAGTCCTTCTTTTCATTGAACAGAAACACTCAAAACCCAAACCTTCAAAAGAAGGAAATGCTATGGGAATGAAAAAGTATTCCTTCTTGAATAATTTTTCAAACCCTATCTTTTGTCCTTCCATTCACAAAAATGCTAATATGTACACATACACACACACTTTTTATATCAGACTCATAGAGGACACTATTGTGTGTCTATTTAGTATCTAGTTTCATTCTTCCATCTTAATAGAACTCCCTGCCTTTATTTTCTTGGGTTGTTCCAGAATCTGTGCTTCTTCAAATAAACTTTCATGGTCTACTTGAGAAATAATGGCTCTTAAGGAATAATTTTGAACTGTATTCTGTCTAATGGCCTTAAAATTCTATTTTGTTAATTCTCGGAATAAAAAAAAACAACTTTAAGTGTAGAGAAAAGGATAACCTTATGATAGTATTGCCTCCATCATGTGGGTTTTTAGACTATTTTTAGAAAGAAGAGGTTTTAAAAAATTTTTCAATTAATTTTTTTTAAAGATATTATTTATTTGATAGAGAATTCACAAGCAGGGGGAGCGGCAGGCAGAGGGAGAGGGAGAACCTGGCTTCCCACTGATGTGAGAGCTGATCCCAGGACTCTGAAATCCTGGGATTATGACCTGAGCTGAAGGCACTTAACCAACTGAGCCACCGAGATGCCCCCAACTAATTTTTAAAAAAGATTATCTGAGAGAGAGCGTGCACGAAAGTGCAAGAGCACGAGCACGAGCAGGGGGGATAATGGAGGGAGAGGGAGAAGCAGACTCCCTGATAGGCAGAGAGCCCATGGGGGTTCATCCCAGGATCTCAGGATCCCAGGACCCTGGAATCAGGACCTGAACTGAAGGCAGACACTCAACTGACTGAGTCACCCAGGCACCCCAGGAAGTAAAAGATTTTTTTTAAACCATGTTATATTTTCATAATTGAGTCATCAGTAAATTAAAATATAATGCATGCTTGGCGATCTCACCTGTATCAAGTGGTTATTTATGAACATTTTATGTTAAGAGATGTAGGCTCCAATTCTCCTTCTACCCCCAGCTTGCTGCATGATCTTGATCTTAATGTCCCTTGGCCTCCATTTCCTCAACTTTGAAAAAAGGACCCTGAAAAAAAGGACTTTGAAGAAAGGACTTGATGGTCCCTCCCAACTTTTCCAACTGTCAAATTTTATGACTATCTCCCTTTTCCAAATAGATGGTAGGAAAAAAAAGGATATATGAAATTTTTTAAAAGTAAAAAGCGAAGAAAAGATCATTCAATTTGAGATGTACGATTTCTATAGTAAATATGCCTTTAGTGTTTCCTGACTATATGTTTACATAGTATAGAAAGCCGTACAAAGAGTGTAAGAGCAAATAGAGTTCTGGAAGATACGCCCTAGAAGAGTAATGTCACTGGGTGAGTCAAAGATGTAGTGCTCTGCTAGTTGGTAATTAGTAACACTTGATGCTTAAACAAAAGGTTCTTAGA